ATGCTGCGGCACAGCACTGCCTCTGCCCGGCCCACAGCATCAGTGTGGCCATCTCGGAGCACCAGCCACAGCCTGAGCCAAAACCAGATGATTCTGGCAATTTATACATTATCAAGCAGCCTTGGGGTCTGGCATCTGCCACAGCATCACCCGATGCCGAGGCGGCATCTACAGGTCCTGCCCCACGGCACGGGGAGAGCTCCCATTTCTCCAGCAATGCTTTTTTTTTTTCCCTAAGAGAGCTCTTGAACCATTTTTGTGTTGGTTGTTTAAATCAGGACAAAGAGCAGAGCAATGGACTGAAAATAGACCAAAGTGTAAGCTGCCGCCCAAAATATTTCACAATTTACGGCTTCTTGGCTGGTCGCTGCCCCTGTGACCCCGGAGTCGGCTGCGTCCCTGCGTGATGTGGACGTGTCCACAGCAGATGGAGCTCACTTTAACTGCACACCCTCACAATCTCTTGGGAGTTAATTGTCATAGCCCACCAAACTGCTCTGAGAGGAGGAGAAGGGCGACAGCAGCGTTCAGTTGTTTTGGGGCCTTTTTTTTCCCTTGAAACTGAGTTCAAATGGTTAATCTTTGCCCTACATTTTCCTTTTAATCTGCTTTCATGCTGACTCTAATCCCCATCACTGCCATCCTTCTGAAACGAAGCGCTTGGCTCAGGCTGCTCTGCCCGTCTGTCTTGGAAAACAAATCTGTAGTGAGAAAGCAGAAGTAACCGAGAGCGTAATGCAGTTTCTGGAAAGCTTTCAGCGCTCCCGCCTGCCCCATTGGAAATCAATGGCAACTGTGTTATTTTTCTGAGGCTAAAATAATAGGTTTGGAGTCTCAGATGCATTTCAGATGGAAGCTAAAGCAGTCGTCCATTTCCAAAGACGGTATCGCCCTGCTGAGCGGGTGCAGGGCGCGGGGATGATGCTCCGCTGGCACAGCTCGTCATTGCACAAGACCTGAGCTCATCTTCCAGTAAGAGGAGAAACAGGAGTCAGAGGAGCCCGTTGCTATTTCTGCGGTGTTTATACCTTGCGAATAAAGCGGGAGTGGGAGGGACGCCAGCTCTCCTCCGTCAGGCGAGGATGGTGCCAATAAATGAATCACAGCGACTGGGCACGCGTGGTTTGCTGGGCCGGCTCTGCCCTGGCCCCGCTGCGGGGGCTGCCGGGACGTGGGGAGCAACAGCAGGCGCTGCCCTGGGGCAGAGCAGCAAACTGGGGGTTATTTGCTGGAACAAGGTCCCTCTGGACATGGCTGCTCTGCTGCTGGGCCCAGCCTGCATCCAGCGGTGCTGCATTGCTGTGTGCCCCCCCAGGACCCCCGGCTCCACTCGCCCAGCCCCACAGAGCTGCCTTTGGGCTGCGTGGGGAAGGGGAGATCTCTGATAACCAACCCTGCCATTGGCATATCTGCCTTGGGACTCAGCACCCAGCCTGGTTTAGGCACGAGAACTCGGCTGTGTCGTCTATGTGGAGAGGCCGTAGATGGAGCCGTTAAAACAGTGAAACAGAACAGCAAAAGCTCGGAAAGGGTGGGGAGAACCAGACAATTCTGTCAACGCAGAAATGTCTTTGTTTCCAAGGAATCGGGGAGGGCGAGAGGCTGGAAGACAAGGAGTAATTAGCTACGGCTGAATTATTGATGAGGTGACGGCACAAGTTGGAGTGGGTTTTGGCAGTGGGCGGGAGGCTGGGGAGCCGTCGCTCCTGGGTGAAGGGGAGGGCGTCATTGCCGCAGCGGGGCCCTGGGGGGGTGGTGGCCGTGCGCTCCACAGCCAGGGCAGGACCCCAGCCCCACACCGAGCAGGATCCGAGCTGCCCAATATCAGTGCAAGCTTCATTGCAGGACCGGCCCCAGGTGCCAGAGGAGCTTTTGGGCCCGAGGGGCTCCATGGTCACAGCCCCACCTCGTGCGGCCACCCCTGCGCTCACCTGAGCAGTGCTTCTGCAGGCGGAGGATCTCCAGGTGCAGGTCGTGGAGCAGCTCCATCTGCTCCTTCTTCAGGAAAGCGATGTGCCGCTGCACGCTCTGGATCTGGTGCTCCAGGGACACGGTCTCCATCGCAACCAAATTGACGGTCCAGGCCTGTGGGAGCGGAGACGGCTCGTGACCAGATGTGCAGTGGCACAGTGGGGTAAGCCCAGTGCCTGGCAAGGGGCAGAGCTCAAGGGGGTGACTGCCCTCGTCCCCCCGTTACGTGGCTGTGGGTGAAGCAGCTCTGCTCAGGAGATGCCTGGGGAATGGTCCCCAAGCCACCCCACCGTCCCACGGGGCCAGCTCCCATGATGGGGCTGCACTGCATGAGCAGAAAGCACGGCTGCACAGACCCTGGCACCGCAACGGCTTGTTTCTATTCCAAATTGGCCCCAGGAAATGTTTCATCCCTGAGAAGGCTCACATCTGGGACAAGATCATTCCTCCCAGTCCCCACATGAGGGTTACACCAGCGACGGTTTTGGCTCTTACTTGACGAGCCACACGTTATGAAGCAGCGACTGCAGCGAGCGCTCTCACACAGGACAAAGACAATCTGCTGCGTCTGACCCGATCAGCGCTACGTGGCGAGGAGTCGCGTCGCCTTCCAGCAGAGGAGACGCTGTCCCTGGTAATTCTGCTGGCAGACGAGGGATGCTGCCAGCGCCGCGCCGGGCGGCTCAGCCCGCGCCGGGCGTTCGTCACTGCGTGTTAATTAATGGCTTTGGCGAAGTCGTGGTGTGAGCTGCCTACCTGTGCCGCTGCTCCACGGAGACGAAAATAAACCCCCAAAACAACCCTTAATGCTGGGAAATACCATTTTACATGGATGTGGGATCCGTTCTCGCTCCCCACACTCAGCCCAGGAGGGGGAGAAGCCGCAGCAAAGCGCGGTGATGGCACAGGGACGCCGTGCCAGGAGCCCGAGGGATGGTGACCACCGTCCTGCCCCATGAGCTGCTTCATCCCCTCTTCCGTCCACCTCTGACACCAGTTTGCTTTCTATGGAAACTTCAGAACCAAGCGATCACTTTGGCTCGTGTTTACACACGATGATGTAGTGCATTTTCAGACCATTCCCACAACCAAAATCCAATCACCCACGTTTCAGCCCGATGCCATTTCAGTCAGCGATGGCAGGGCCCTGAGCTTGAAGCGTTGTCCTTGCCAAAGCCTCTCCAGATCTGTGAAATCCATAAAGTCAGGTCTCCATGCTCTGGCTGTGCCATGACAGGGGGTGCGGTGATTTGGATTTGGGGTCCCTCTTGCCATGCCCCCATTGCCCCATGGCCAGCCCCAGCCCACCCTCACCAGCCACGGTTCCTGGCATCCACATGACCCTTCCCGTCGGCGGCTCCGCCAACACCTCCTGTGTCCCACTCCTGTGTCCCACAGCCACCACGGGATCCGGTCCTGGGTGCAGGTGGTTGTTGTGGGAGCTGTGACCGACACTGGCTTAACACTGCCCTGGGGAACAACGTCCCGCAGGTGACAACAGCCCTGGCTCAGCCGCAGCCCTGCCTGGCTGAACGCGGGGTGTGTGGGAACCACCGGCACCTCCAGGAGCTCCAGGGATTTGCGGTCCCTCAATGTCGGGCATTTTAAAATAGATCAGGGTGGGAGGGGAGGGAGGATTCTACCTCTAGACTCAACTTCCCAATTATTCCTGTTCTCCTGAGAGGCAAGGGGATGATTTTTAAGTCACCTCGCCTCTCTTGACAGCGCTGTAATTAACGGACAAGAGAGCTGGCGTTCGTCCTTTGCACCGCGAGAGCTGGCAATGATGGGGACTCGTTAAAGGTGGGGGGGTAATTAATTGTGCCAGCGCAACAGCTATGGAAGTTACCTGGCATCTGCTGTGGGCTGAGAATACAAATGATGGCACAGACCCCCCTGCCAGCCCTTCCTGCAGGGGGTGAGAGGCGATGGGCTGGGTCTGGAGCAGCATCTGGATGGGAGCTGTGGCACCTTGGCTCAGGGAGCATCAGAAAGTAGGTTGGACAGAGCCCGGGGGATACGCAGTGCTATTTTCAAGCACTTTGTTCTGTCTCGTTGCAATGTCTTTAGTAGAAATGGCTGCAAATTTCCCATCGGACTTTCCCTCCTCTCTTTCAGTGGGAAATGACCCTTTTTTACCAACAAAAATGTTTTCCCTTTAAAAATAAATAGTTGATAAATATCAAGATGTAAAGAAAGCGAAAGAAAAACGATTCTGGAATTGCGATTGGGTCGTTGTCTCTGATTTGGGAGATAAAAAGCCTCCATAATTTACCTGCGTGGAAGGGGGAGAAAAAAGTCTGTTTTCAGCATTGCAATGGGAAACCCATGGTGGGTTTGGATCAGCTTTGCCTGCCCAATGTTGATCTCACCGTTTCCCTTCAGAAAGAGCTCTCAGGGAATGTCAGTGTTATGGTGTCCAGGGGAGAGCACCTTGTGTTGTCCACGGGTGAAACGCCCATCAGCACCAAGGACACCGAGGCAGGACAGGAGCCAAACGGGGAACGTCGCTGCTGGTGGTCACGCTGCTGCCAAGATGGGGGATCCCTCCTGGGGCTCCTGTGCCCCCTGCAAGGGGTCCTGGGGGCTGCCACTGCAGGGCTGGGAGGAACACGCTGTCCGTGCCACAGCTCCGTCCCACGGGTAATGATGCGAGAGCCAGGAGCCATTGGCTCGGCTGTGAGGTTTCCGCAGTGGCCGCAGCCGTGCGAGCGTCTCTGGTTACCAGGGGGCAGTGGATGAACACTCCCCTCGCCGAGGTTGTGCCCACCCCTCGCCCTAAAGGGTTTTGGATCTGAACACTCAACATCTGCTCTCTTCCCTCCCCTGCTTATGAAGTCAAGCAGAGACGGCAGCAGCACTTTGAGCCTTTAGTTTGACACATGCCTTTGGTCATTTCACACAGCAGAATCCCTTGGGAGGTGTTGGGTGTTAACAAGGATTAGCTGCTGCTGCTGGCTGGCTTCATGCAATACTGGGCCACCGCTTCTCCCAGCCAACACCGCCAAAACTCCCTCACGTCAAGGGCTCCACAGCACCCAACCAGTGCTGGTGACCATGCCTCTACGTGTGAAGTGTGGTGGGAACCTTCAGCCTGGGTCAGAGGCACAAGAGCCAAAGCACAGAGATGGGGGCAGCTGCTCTCGGGGATGCTGAGAAGCTCCCAGAAGGATGGTGGCACCGCAGCAAGGTGGGATGGGGTGGAAGTGACCCTGCCTTGCTGCTGTAACTGACATTTTTCCAGGCTGGTTCTGTGGCCACGTACTCCGTGGCTTTCAGGAGTGAAGAATGAGGTTACAGCTTTAGAAAACAGCGTCATTCACAACAAAAGCCAGGGGTAAGGGATACTGCCCTTAGGCTTGAAGGACACTCTGTTCCCTTGTGCTTCTGGTAGCTGTGACACACGCGCAGGGCTGGAAAGGGCGACCATGGGCTGAACTGGGAGTATTGCCCCTGTTGATGTGACACCCACAACTTGAGCTGGCTCCTGCTCCCACAGAGCTGTGCCTGGGCACTGTCTCCGGTTTTGGGTATCCAAGGGGCTTCGCTCCATCACCAAGAGCTTTCCAGGAGTGAGCTTCCCATGCCAGCTACGCACAGTGCCCAGCACAGGCCTCTCCTTGGCGCGGTGGGACAGCCCTCAGCAGGGCACGTGGGACCAGATATTTAAAAATGCACTTTTAACATCTTAACCCTCAAATGTGCTCAGAGAGACCGTGGAAGCTGAGCTGGCAAAGTGCCGCAGAGGTTACGGAGGTTTCTGGGCTGAGCAGGAGCAGTCTGGGGGGGATCCACATGGGTGCAACCCATGCAGATGGCCATGGGGGAAGATGCCCCAGGAGCAGCAGAGCACGCTCTGGTGTGGGGCTTGGGAGCTGCTCCCTGCAGAGAAAGCACACAGCTCCCTGCCTATAAAACACTTGCTTTTTTCTCACTCCTTATCTTTCCACTATCCGACCACAGTCTTTGGGACAAGGCACTGGGACTCCTGATCTCAGTGGGGTGTTTCAAAGTGCTACTGGGACACCCCAGGGAGATGTGCAATTTCATCCCAATTTATCAGAATTCTTCTTTCTCATAAAACGACTGAACCAGCCTCTTGCAGTAGCTACAATGACCGATTTAGTTACAACTCTCCGAAGAACCAATTTCCTCTGCACAGAGATTATCTGAGAACTTGCTTCCAGGGCAAAACTATGCCAAAGTCTGTTGTTTAATGCCAACCAGAATCCCAAAATTCTGACCCAAGAAAAAACCTCTGTTCCTGAGGATGCATTTGACAGGCAAATACAGCATTGCACGTATGCACACCCGGCACTAACACTGGCACACTGAGATCCAGCCCTTGGTCGCGCAATCATCTTTCCCCGTAAATGGCAAATTAACGGAGTCAGAGGGCACAAACATGGTTTGCAGGAACAGGTCAATGATTTTTCCTGCTGCGGTTGCCAGCAACCCCCTCTCCACCGCATTGAAACATACACAGGCATAAACACTGATACATATTAGAAATCTATACCGCTTGGTATTCACGGTCACAGAGAACACAAACACAAACTTCGCAACAACGCCATGAAGCACGTACGTCTTCAAACGCAGGGAAAAGGAGGCAGCAGGAAGCTGAGGAACTTGCAGAAGGTCACGGAGGTAGTGGCAATGCCAGGAATAGAAACTAGAGGTGAAATCCTGGCCTTGGGAAAGTCAGTGGGAAACCTTCCTTGATCTCAGCAGAGGCAGCACGGCACTCACAGTCCTATTTGCTATTCACCATCTACCAGTATCTATTTAAAGATACAATCGATACAAATGTTGATTATAAATTGTTGTGTTTTCTCTCAATTCTCTAAACACAATTGCCTAGCAGCCAGGGCCGGGGCTCATCCTTTGCTGCAGATGCCAAAAGCAAGGCCGTGTCTCCTCCCGCCAGCTCCGGCGAAATTCACCAGGGACTCAGCACCCGTCAGGAGCAGGATTGGTCCACATCAAAGCCCCGCATCCATCACCCGCTCCAGCGGGCGACCCCCGTGGCGCCCCCCCGCACTTTGGCAATTTCGTGGCGATGCCTCCTGGTCCCCGGCCCGGTTCTGCGACCGGCGCCGAACTCCGCAGAGCCC